GGGCGGAAATCCATACACACACACACACACACACAGACACACACACACACGCACGTTAAAAAAAAATAAGATCAAGATACTACAGGATGAGAAGATCCCCAAATGGGAAACATTAGAAACACCACAACTAAACCCAGGCAACAGGCCATGACCCTCTGCCACTGTGACATAGAAGGAGAAAAGGGACCGAGTTCCTTGTCCCTGGCGTGACAACCTCCCCGGGCCGGCCACCCTCCTCAGGAGTTGCAGGCATGTAAACACTGTTCAGGACGAAGGCATCAGCTGAAATCTCTCAGACCTTTCATTGCTTGTCTTTTTATCAGAGAATCCATTTAAAATTCTCAGCACAGATGTAACCGGGATACGTCACCTTCCATCAATCTTGGAAGCAGGAGGCCCCGTGACACACCACAATTCTAGTCACCTTTCTTTTTCACTCCCTGTCTCTTCTTTGCAGAAAGTTTAAAATGCAAGCAAGCAACAAAATAGAGCCGGTGACTCTTTTCGTCCCGCCCAGCATCTGGGATTGTCACATCACACAGAGTAGGTCCCCTGCACACTGAGGAGGGTGTGTGTGGCTCTCGGTCTTTAAACCCCGGGGTCTCAGCAAGCCTGATCTGAACAAAGTGTTTTCCAAGCGAGGTCCTACGGCACCAACTATCTGAGGCCCTTTATTTGGCCCCAAGGTGGGCATTCACGTCGAGCGGCAGGGTCCGGGGGGGTGCTCGAAAAGGCAATGGAGACACAGTTGATGGATTGGGCATGCCACTGGGAAGGGAGCCCCCTGGGGCCGGGCCCGACCACTTACATTGTGCAGCTTGTAGTACAGCCCACAGGCGTTGCAGACGGGGTCCCCGTTAGCATTCCTCCTCCAGAGCGTGGTGGTGGTGGTCTGACAGTTCGCACAGGACGTCCCTGCCCTCCTGGCCGCAGACTGGGAGCAGGGAAAGAGGAGAGGGTAAAATCAAAACAAATGTCAGAGGTGTCGCCATCACGACGGAGACGGGTTTAAAAAAAAAAAAAAGGAAGGAAGAAATTATCACTGAAATCAAAACTAGCAAGTGGCCCACATGAAAGTCACAAAGATCCCCAAATGCTGCCTCGAGAAGAAAAATGTCACCCATCCACAGGACGGGAGCGCATGGGACGGCAGTGACGCCGTCAGAATGTAGCACGTTGCTCCCGGTGCCAAATGCATGGGGAGCAGGAAGCCGGGGCCACCTCCCTGAGCATGTGAACCCCTGCCCCCGCCTCCCAAAGGGCACCAGAGGGTTCGTGTTTACGGAGGGGCAATTTTTGAATGAGCCAGACTCATTTTGGTTCCTGGCTTTCGGTTGCCTTGTTCGGCAGGCCCAGGGCCACCAAAGATCTTTTTCGATCACACCTCCCAAGAATATCAATCCCCAGCGGCCATCAAGACACACTCACGGCACTGGAAGGGCAAACCCAAGCAGCCAAAGCATGCTAGAGGTTCCAGATACATGCTGGATTAAGCAGAGAGCGGCGTGCTGATGCCATCTCAGGCTCGTTCCTTGAGAATTACATTCTCTGGGCACGCGTATGGCATAGACTCAGGGTGGCATAACTCGGAAAGCACTAAGCAGGACGTGTAAGCCAACAAGACCTTGTCAAATTTGCAGCAGTCCTAAATTTACCCAGCCTGCACTTTCAGACTTGGTCACTTGCCCTCTGCCGGGACAACCACCCTCCATCCCTTTAGGTGGCTGTCTGTGAATGAAGCACACTGGAAAGACCAAGGATCTGGCCATTGATCAGGGGGCCTGGATGCCCCCAGCCCCCTGATCTCACACCACCTTTGTGAAATTAGGTATTTCCTATTTGCTGGTCACCGAATAGATGTCTGCAGGTCAAAGGTCAGCCTCAACTTGAATTCTAATTCCTTGGTTGTGTCCTGCCTTCCTTTCCTTTAGAAGGGAGATTTTTCTCGCACTTTCTGACACATTTAAACTGGTCGGGTGGCCAGTCTCTGTGTTCATGCTTAAAAAAAAAGAAACTCAAAAACTGTTGAAAGGAAGCGAAATTGAGTCACTTCTCATGCACACCTCTCTCCCTCGCTCACCCCCCTACCGTAGAAAGAGAGTTCTCACTGCAAAATTATATCTGTTCCTGAACTCAAAAATATTGTCAAGGAAAAGGCAAAAGGAGAAAGAATTCAGCTAGCCTTCATCTGGGAAGGAGACAATTCTGGAATGGTTGTAAGAACACAAAAAAGAACTCCAGGAATCCTGGTGCACTTTTCTATCAATATTTTTTCTCAAGCAAACAGTTAAGGCAAATACCCGAAGCAGCAGATATGGAAACCCAGTGACAAATTCTAATCCACCAAGTGAATTCTTTTCCTTTCGAAGTCACTAAATTGTTCTTCAGAAATGTCCCTGTGGCCTCTAAGGCACAGAGCTCCGCTTTTTTTTAAAGTCAATTCTTTCGTTTCTGTGTTCTAAGAAGCTGGACACTAAAAACAGCCTTTAGCTACCAGAATGGAGAAAGTGCTACCTTTTTCTTTTGCTGACCATTTTGAAATAACTCACCACAGTCCAAGAGTGCTGATTCGAACTCCCTATACCTGCTCCCACCTGCCTTTATAAAGCATGATGATTTAATACTTAAATAACTGCTCCACTGTGGACTCTTGAGAAAAAAGTACTACATAAAACCCATGTTTCCGTGATTTTGACAATTATATGTGATAATTATTATCTCCCCATAGTGCTTTTTTCCCCTTTTTATTTTCTGTGTGTGTGTGTATCTGTGTTTTGGGGGGTTTTTTGTGTATGTGTTTTGTGTTGATGCTTTGACAGAATTTCACTCTGTTGACCAGGTTGGAGTGCAGTGGCATGGTTATAGTTCACTGCAGCCTCGAACTCCCAGGTTCAAATGATTCTCTTGAGGAGCTAGGACTACAGGTGCACAAAACCACACCAGGCCAATTTTTTCATTTGTTGTAGTGATGGGGTCTCGCTATGTTGCCCAAGAACTCCTGGCCTCAAGCAATCCTCTTATCTCAACCTCCCAAAGTACTGAGATTACAGGCATGAGTCAGCATGCCCCGCCCTATAATGTTTTGTTTGTTTTCTTTAAAATAAATCAAGGCATAGTGCAAGCGTACAATGCCACCTGGTAAACTCAGAACCCCAGATGAAGTACAGTGTATAATCCTTTGCAGAGTATTGACAGTAACACACATACAAGCAGGCACAGAATATGTTTCCAGTTCTACAGACTTTATGGGAACTTAGAATCTCCCAAAGCCACACTGTTTGGATTGCTAGCAGGAGACAGAGTATATTAATAAAGCAAGCTGCCCAGCCTCTTGCTGGTTCTGAGACATATGAAAGTCTTGGCAACACCAGGGGGAAAAAAATCCTATGGATCTTTCCTCCAGTCCTCTCTTCTGTTTCCTGCATGAGTTTATTCTGTGTTAGATATGCATGTCACAGAAGAGCCAGCTATGTTCTGGGCTGGGTGGTCTTCAGTGAACCCGCAAATGCATAAAACAGATACTGTGAGCTGGAAAGATGGAGCTGTGGTAAAGGGACAGGAAACGCAGGACAGAAGGACACGAAAGGTTCTAGGTGTTCAGAAGTCAAATGTCTTTAAGAACTAAAAAAAAAAAAAAAAAAAATGTGAACGTGTCCTGAGTGTCTCCCTGCAGTGTCTGAATTCAATGGAACTAAAAATACCAAGCCACCCAGGACAGATGATTAAGAAAGAAAAGACAGCTTAAAGGGTGACAGCCAATGAGTTCTAAAATTAAAAGCAATTATTACTCAGAGTTCTAGAGGCTTCCTATAAAAGGTGAGTAGAAACCCAATGGTATAAAATGGAAGTAGAGCCCTCCTCTGCAATCAGACCAGACAGAAGAAAACCCGAGAAAATGTCAAAGAACTCTTGCTTAATCCACCAGCCCAGCACTTGAGACTTCACCCTTTTTTACCCTCCAAAATAAAACAAAACTATCATGGTACCAAGACTTATTTTAACAAGAAGATTTGTTGTTAGGTGTCTCTCTCTCTCTCTCTCTCTCTCTCTCTCTCTCTCTCTCTCTCTCTCTCTTTTTACTAAGGCCAGGTTTTGAGTGATTCAAAACATTCTTTTGTGGTGTGATCATATTCATTCTATGCTGACACCTCCAGCCATTTTTTTTCCAAACACTTCTTGTTCTGATACATTCAAACATCTTGGTGTTTAGGTTGGGGAAGCTGAGTTGTTGTTTGTGAGTTATCTCCAGTGCTCAGATATCCGGCAGCTTTTTCCTAGGAAGTCAGCTTTGCACAAGAGAAAAAGAAAAAAAAAAAAAATACCATACTGCATGAGGAGAAGTGGGGGAAGGTTGAGAAAGTTGGAGAAAGGGAAAGACCAGAAACAATAAAGCCTAAAGATCAAGGATTGCCAAAAATTAAAGTCATGTGGACACTTCCATCCCTAGAAAGATTTTCCTTCTTCTAAAGAAGATGTAAAAGGCATTGAGTTGCACTACAATCTACCGGGAGAGCAAACCGCTCTTTAAACAAAATACAGGCCGGACACGGTGGCTCACACCTGTAATCCCAGCACTTTGAGAGGCTGAGCCAGAAGGATTGCTTGAGTTCAGGAGTTCGAGACCAGTCTGGGCAACATAGCAAGATCTTGAGACTTTGTCCCTGCCAAAAATAGAAAAAATAAGCTGGGCATAGTGGCACATGCCTGTAGTCCCAGCTACTCAGGAGACTGAGGTGGGAGGATCGCCTGAGTCCAAGAGGTCAAGGCTGTGGTGAGCCGTGATTGTGTCACTGCATCTGCATTCCAACCTGGATGACAGAGTGAGATCCCCAACTCAAAAAAAGAAAAATACAGAGGTGATTTTTCTCCCCTTAGAATTTGATGGAGGCTAATTTGTCCACTAATCTGCATGGGGAAATTCCCCTCCTCTCATCTCTACATGGTTAATGTCAGCACCACAGAAGTATTTGGATCACTGGAAGGTGGTTAGCGTTTGTTATGTGTCTAAGTTACAAGCACCCACGATTGGAGCTGGCCTGAGCTTCCAAGGACGAGTTTACAAAGGAACCACTCCAGTTAGTTTTCATTATAAATACTTGACAAAGCTGGGTTTTCAAGGGTTCCTAATGGTCAAAGAGTTTTGCTGTTGTTGTTGTTTATGAAGGAGAAGAAAAATAAGCTATCACTCTACGTATAGTAATTCAAAGAGAAAATAAGACCAAACGCTTGAAACAAGAGGAAACTCACACCACTTTTCCCACAAGAATTGCCTGTGGAAAGCCCTTGATTCCAAAGTCCAAAAAAGAAGGAGACGTGCCCTGGGCTCACTTGTTGCTGGTGCCTCTGAAATTTACTTCATCGGCCTCAACCATCTGAAGGCATTAGCACAAGAGGGTCCTCGGAGCCCTGAGCCCGGGAGACCAATTGCCACTCCCTCAGGAACATGTTCTAGATGGTTCTGGAACACTCCATCCTCATACCAAACCGTGTCTGCAAAGCAGTGAGTAGCAATGCACTTTAAACGAGCAGCCCTGGCACTGGCAACACAATTATCCTATTGGAGAAGACACTGCCAGTTGGATCCCCAAGAAGTCAGCATCCTTCAAAATATTAGAAGCGACCTTGGGGGAGAAAAAAGAGAGAGGAGAGTTCTTCTGTCTGTCTAATTTGAGAAAAGGAAAGGAGGGGAAGGAGCTGTCCCAAACAAGCTGACATGACTCTGAGCTGTCCTGCCAGTTTCCTGCAGAAAGCTGTCCTTCCCGGAGAGAGGAAATGAAAAACACAGAGTGCTTCGCATGGGATCCGCTTCTTCCCAAGGAGAACTTACCAGCCTTCGCTTGGGCTTGATGAGCGGCCGGTTCTGCCCGTTCATTTTGTGGTACAGCCCACAGGCGTTGCACAGGTAGTGACCGGTGCCATCTCGCCGCCACAGAGGGGTCGAGGTTGCTCCGCAGTTCACACACTCCCTGCCTTCTGGAAGCAAAACCACAGATGAGTCACTTATGGAAGGGAAACACGCAGGAAGGCGGGCAGCATTTGGCATTTTGGGGAGAGGAGCACAATGGAAACCCTCTTTCTTTCTTCCTCCTTTCTGGGGTGCATTCCCACTCTCACTCCCTTCTAGGGGGCCCCAGAGTTGGACAGATGAGTTCTGTTCCTGGCACAGCCATCCCCCAACACGCACAGTCTGCAGAAGTGGCCGCCGCTTAAATGGCAACACAACCCCCTCCTTGGCCGACTCGACTTGATGGGGAAGACCTAGCCAGACCCAGGAGCGAGGCAGAGCCCAACCTGAAATGCTTCCCTGAGAAAATCCTGAGCCCCAGACGGTGGCAAAAGCAAAACATTCCATTCGTTTCCCTCAAAGGAAAACAAAGGTGACCTCTTACCATCCTGAGGTCTGTCTATATAGATTGATTAAACAATGAAGATTAGGATGGGGGTGAGAGGGAAGAGTAATCCATGGCTAGAGATAAACAGATAATAGATAGATGTATAGATTGATCAACTGGCCGATTGATTTGAGGAGCCAGCCTTTAGATCTGACTTCCCAACCAACTGTAAATGTCTACAAGTGGTCAGGAGCCAGCAGGGATTTTTATAGCTTTCCAGCCCCTGGAGTTACACCAGGACCCCAAGCAGCGGCTGCTGGGGGGCGGAGTTGGAGGGGGCGGGGTGCCCTGCAAACTTTAAGCCAGAACCCAGAAGAGGGGGAAGGAGGAGAAAAGAGGAAGGGAAGGGTTGGAAGACCAGAGAAGGGGAAAGACAAGTTAACGAGGTGGCCAGGGGGTCTCGGTGGGCTCATTAACCAAGGCCTGCCTTTAGTTTCTCTCTTTTCAAAAACACAAACAAGCAAAATAAACAAAAAAACTGGCCAGGCCGGGTTGGGTTGGGTTAGGCTAGGTAGTATTCACTCCCCAGACAGGGCTGGAGAGTGACCTAGACCCGCCCCCCCCAGAAAGTTCCTTGGAGGAATCCCTTAAATGACCATTTGGGGATGGGAAGAGTTTGCTAATTGGTTTCTCTGAAAATTCTACAGAGAAGAGGAAGAGAAGAATGCTTTCTAGGAGAATCTCCTCTCTCCTGGAGGGCCGATGGACAACCCCCATCGTGCCCAGTTTTCTTGGTGCCAGGAAAGAAGCTGGGACTCTCACTCCCTGCGGGAATGAGGTGGTCAACTCAAACCAGTCCTCCAGAGAGTGGAGGCCCAGAGGAAGACACTAGAGGGTGGGCGGGGGAGAAAAATGAGCCCTGAAGACGGTTTGGCTTTAAATGGTTAATCAGTGACCACCAACCTACCAGGAACCCTGAGGTGGGGGAAAGACAGCCTAGAAGGTGACTCCCCTAAAAGGAGGAAAAGCCTGCTTGGCAGCTCTGGGACCTATGGGGCCTTTGGAAACCCCCAGACAAGTAGGAAGGAACCAGGGGGGAGCTCACACCTGCAGACCTGTGATCTTCCCTGGGGACAAGTCCTTCAGGGAAGTTAAGGACTTTTGAGAATAGAAGAGGGTCTTGGCCCCTTTTCCATGAGAGTCGGAGACGGTGCCAAGCAGTTTTTGTCTATTTGGCTTGATCAAAAAAATTTTGAGGCGTTCAGAGAATTTTTTTTTTCTTCAGATTCCAAAAGGATCTTAGCTGGGGTATCCAGAGAACCTGCCCTGCGGCCAAGAGCCCCTCGGAGTATTCACAAACGCCCTGCACTTGCTGGCCAGAAGCCCCTTCCTCAGGACCCCAAAGCGCTTCTCAGTTCTCGAAAAGGGCTTTGGACTGAATCACACCCAGACTCCTTCCCGCTGGGGTCTGAAGCCTGAGGGATGTGGCAGACGAGGTGTGGGGGAGACTTGCAGGAAGAAGCAAAGGGTGAGTGGGCGAGAAGCCGGTGGCAGCCCCAACCGGGAGGCCGTGGGCCTGCCCTCCCGCGTTCCCAGTGGGCACCGGGCCGGCCCCTTCTGGGAGCAGCAGCACCAGTTTTGTCCTGGCGGGGACTGCAGGCCCACTCCCTAACCTGCCCAGATAGGGCCACTCAGGTGCCTGCCTCTTTGGGCAGGGGCGGTGTGAGGGTGAGGATGCAGAGGTCGCTGCGTGGGGGGCTGCCCAGCTCCTAAGCACCCTGGCACCGGGGGAGCCCCTGGCCTGACGCAATCAGTCTGATTTCCTTTATTTACCGGGGCTGTGGGGAGCATGACAGCTTCCTTTTTAGAGGGACCTTGAAAGTCAAGCAACGCTTGCCTCTCCAACAAGGTTTGCACACTGGGGCAATTTTCTGTCTTGATTCACTCGGCAAGTTTGCGATCGCCTTGTGTGGGCTTTTTCTTTTCCTTTTTTTCCCTGCTGCCTCTGGTCTGTGACTTCAGCAAACAGCCAATTTTCCTAATGGAGGCCCCGATCTCTCCTCGCCCCTTGCCTGTTATGAGCCGCTCAGGCAGACACCTCTCTCTTAGGTGACAAGAACCACAGAGCCACGGAGCCTCTCGGCATTCACCAGCCATTTGCAAATGCCCCTGGTGCTGCCTGGGACTGAAACCCCGGGACTGAGCTGAGCCAGGGGGCAGACAGCAGGCCAGAGATTGTTCGAGGGTGAGCTGAGAAAGGCCCTCGCACAAAGGCTTCGTCTTTTGTTTGCAGAGACAGATCCCAGCCCTGAAAGCCCAGGCGCTAAGAAGGCGATAGATACCCTAACCACAACTTCAACCGTTTCCAGCGACAACCTCTGCCAACCTCTCTTCTCTCCGCCTCCGACAGCAAATGCGTTTGCAAAGAAGAGGTTTTAAAAGACAGAAAAGAAGAAACCACTGAAACCCAGAGAATCCCCTCCTGAAGAATTCCCACCACACCCACCCCCTGCACACAGAGGGTCTTCTAGAAACTGCCCCTCCACACTCCCAAAAGTCCCAGCTCCCTCGCCAGCCAAGGTGTGCTGTGCTTGGTTTTTGTGACTGTGAGAAAGGAATAGGAGGAAGTTAAAAAAAAAAAAAAGAAAGAAAGAAAGAAAGAAAAGAAAAGAAAAGGCCAAATTGCAATGGCGTCCTCTTACCCTCACCAAAAAAATAAAACCGCATAGACAAGTTCCCAGCTCTGGTTTAGGGAAAGCGTAACTCTTTTTCTCCCTTCCATGTTCAGAGTCTTAAGGAAAGAGATGAGAGAGAGAGAAAGGCTGAACTGGCGGCAGAAAGTGCGCCCAAGAGAGGGGGAGAAATCAGACACGGAAACGAGGGCAAAGAAACCAGAGTCTCTTGGAAAAGCCACTCGGTCCCCTTCCCCCACACAAACCACCACCCCAGCCTCAGATACCGCGATCTTCCCCCAACCTCCCAGCCCCACCAGAAAAGAGAACTTTAAAAAAAATCCCATTACGGCCTCAGAATGCACAGGTTTGCTAGCTGTGCTTTCAGCATCCGCCCTCAGCCCGTGTTTTTTTTTTTTTTGGTTTGTTGTTTTTTTTCCTGGATCAAGCTGCATGCGCCCCGTTTCTCCCCAGGCCTTCCCCTCCACCCTCAGGCCAGCTCCTGCAAGGCACCGCGGGCGGGCCGCTCTCCTCCTCCTGGCTCTCCCTTCTTGCTTTCTCTTTGACTCCACCAGCCAGCCTCCCTCCCTCTCCCTCCTGCCTGCTCGCATGTTCTGAACATGCAGGTCTGAGTTTTTCTGTCAGCCTAACCGCATCCGGACTCTATTAAAGTTCCTGGCTCGGGATAAACAATGCAACTGTCGCGTGCAGCAGTCTGAAAATAATTGGATTAGCTAAAACATATCAACTAAATAGAGACAGTCCTGCTCAGGCAGTCGGAGTGAATGTCACCCTGGAAAAAAACCCTGAAAACTGATCTCATGGTCACTGGGCGCCCAGAGCCCTCCCTCTAGAGTTTTTCAAACCGGGGCTTTGGGAGCTCTGGTTCAAAACTGCTCACCTCACCCCTAAAAGACAAGTGATGCTCGCTAGTGCTTTCTATATAGGATCTAGAGAGAATGCACAGGGGGCAGAGGTGAGACAGTGTCAGGGAGGAGCAAAGAAAGCAGTCCCTTCCTATGGGGACACGCCTAAGGGGACGTCCCAGCTGCCACAAAATCCCATCCAAAAACACAGTTCTGTCTTAGCTCAGGGGATCCCTCTCTTTGACTGAATCGCCTCGGTGAGAAACTGAATTGATGAGAGACTATTTTATTTTTAAAGCAAAAATATTTTGTGTGACTTTTTTTTTAATGCAAGCGATGACATCAGGAGAGTAAACATGCCTCGTGCTGCTGGACAGGTTTGCGTTTTGGAAAGGGAAGACGCAGAGCCACACACCTGGGGACGTCCTCAGACCTTTCTACCTCCACTGGCTTCCAACCCGCCAAGGAACTTGTCCTAATACAGCTTCCTGCTGCAGCCTGCACAGAGAGCGCTAGACTCTGCAGGTAACGAACTGAGCTGTGTGACATTTGATTTTCATTCAACTGCTTCCCCAACGCAGAGCCACCTCTTCCAGAAGGTCGGCTAAGAGCCCCTTTTCCATGCAAATAATACGTGTACTGTTGAACCAGGTTCCTGTTCCCCTCAAAATACATACATACACGCACACACACGCTTTATTTATACGTGTCTATATTAAGGGCTGTCCTCACGGCCTGACCCCTTTGGGCTGAGTGAGAGGAACAGTCAGACTGACAGAGGCCAAAGGGGTCACAGGAGGGACCAGTGTTTGTTTAGGTTTGAGGAGGTTTCGTTTCAGCATTAAACACTCAAGATTTATTCCCTCGGCCTTCCATTTGGTCTTCGAAACTGACTAAAGGTTACCGGCCGAATCCAGAAGTCCTGCGACACGCAGGAGAGGGCACGACTTTGTTTTTGTTTGTCTTTTTCCTTTTCCCAGCTCATGGGGAGGGGAGTAGTTAAATCAGACCCACCTCCCCCTGCTTTGGAGGGCAGGAATGAGGCAGGGGGGAGGGCACACCCACACGGCAGTCTGCCCCGGCAGGAAGAATGGGAAGACTGGAGTCGCAGCAGGGGTTGGGGACACCCCAGCTCCCCAGCGGGCCCCTCCCTGGAGCCGCCCGGCCCTGGATTTAGGAGAAAGGGGGGCGGGACGAGGAGAGAGGGTTCCTACCTGTGCTGGATCTCGCCTTGGGCCTGGACTTGCACCCGAAGCCGGTGGGGGAGCCACCCAGCAGGCTGCCCGGGGGGAAGAGTCCGGAGCTGTACTCGGGCACGTAGGGCGGGTAGGTGGTGATGGGGTGGTGGGCCGACGAGGAGGCCCCCCCCAGCGTGGTCATGCTGCCGCGGGAGTGCGACGACTCCAGTTTCATGCTGTCGGGCAGCGGCACCTGGTACTTCAGGCACTCCTTCTCGTCCTGCCGGGCCGAGCCGGCCGAGCCCGGGGTGGACAGCGAGGGGTCAGGGGACACGTCCTTCGGCGGCGTGGGCGGGAAGGTGAAGAGGTGCGGGCTGGCGTGGCCCCCCGACAGCGAGGACGAAGAGGCGGGCGGGGAGACCGAGAGGGGCCCCGGGGAGCCGTGGTGGATGGAGGTCTTGGAGAAGGGGCTGAGGTTCCAGGGCGAGGCGGTGTGGTGGCTGCCCAGGGCCTTGCCTCCGTCCAGCCAGGGCAGGGATCCGTGCAGCAGGGGCGGGCGGCACACCTGGCTCCCTGCAGCGGCGGGAAAGGGGAGGAGAGAGGGGGAGGGTCAGGGCAGCCCTGGGAGGCCCTCGGACACACCTGGGGCCTCCCGGCTCTGCTGGCCTCCCTGTCAGCCGAGCCCAGAAGGGCCCTGGCTGGGACCGCTGTCTAGTCCCCGAGGTCCCAGAAATACCTGCCCGGCACACCTGGGGGCAGAGAAAGGGGCCAGACTCAGCCACCCTTCTCTCCCACACGATGTCCCACCAGCCCCTGCAGAATAGAGGGCCTGGGCCTGCCGCCCAGAGGTGCTTCCAAGGCGTGGAGCTGGGCCCCTGGGCTGACGCGGCCTCTCTGGGGTCCCTGTCTGAGTCGCATTCCCTGCTGCCCCCTCTAGACTCTGACTTGATGCATGGGCTGCCTTCAGTGGCCCGGAGTCCCAGGCTTCATCCCAGCCAACCTGATAAGCGTCGGTTGCGAATGGTGAGTCCGAAGGGTGAGCCTGGCCACACAGGCCGCTGGGAGCCGCCCCGGGCCCAGGAGCCAGGCCGGGCTCCGGGTGCCGAAGGCAGGAAGGCGAGGCCCAGGGAGAGAAGACAGCCGACTTAGGGGGTTGGCTCCCAGAAACCCACTGCGGCCCTCGCTTGATACCTGCAGGGCTGCTTCCCAAAGGCCTGAGGTGGGATTTGCAAAAGGATTCTCAGGGCTCAGGCTGTTGGAGAAAGTTTCCAAGGCTGGACCCTGGGAGGGCCGAGTATTTTTTTCTGCTTTTATCACCCTCCCAAATCCTACAGGGGAGAAAAATAAAACGAGCCCCCACACGCCCTTCAAGCTGGGGCTCCACCAGGGCCACGTGTGACTTTCCACCAAGAAACGAAATTCTAGTTGACCGTCTATTTCAAACCAAGGATGGCTCGTGCACAGAGTGCAGTGGGCCTTCGTTGAAAACACAGTTTTGGGGCAGCCAGAACTCCCACCAGCTCCATCGCTCTGCCAGGGGCACATCTGAACTCAGCGTGCAGACCCGCATGCGTGTTGATCTTCCACTCCAGTACCTGCCTCAGCACCTGATGTGCTCCGGGCCCATTAAGAACAATACTGAAACTAAAATCTCAAGAGAGAGGAAGGGGAGGTCTCTGAGCACCAAGGGTCAAAATTCATATTACGCAGGAAGTCATATAGTAAATAATATTAGGTCTGCATCTACCGCGTCTCCACTCAACTGCGGATCTGCCCAGAACGCGGGCAAAGAGCGCCCCATCCGCAGAAACGATTGTTTCAAAGCTGGCGGCGGCAGGGCAGAGGACTCCTGCTGCCCGAGGGGCTGTGTCCTCGGCGCCAACGCCGGCTCGGAGTCGGGGGGCCTCGGTCTGGCCGGACTAAGGGGACTCTCGTCTTTTCTCTGCCCACAATTTTGCTGCTTTTTTTCCTTCCAGCAACAAACTTACAGCCAAAAGGTGTTGAGGTTTTTGATTTTGTTTTGTTTTGTTTTCCCTTCCCTTCTAACTGCACAGGGCTGGTTTTCTTTTTCACATCTCAGAACTCCCTTAAACTTATCAAGATGAAAGGGGAGAAGGGGAGAGGGCGCTGGAAAGGCTCCTAGGAAACCCTGACGGGTCCTAAATCTGCTGTGGGAGCCGGGTGGACACGGCAGGCCGCAGGAGAGGCAGGGCGAGACCTGCAGGCACGGAGGCGACCAGAAAGCAAAACCGCAGGAAAATTCTGTGCAGCCGGGACTGTAGGAAACCGCGGGTCTCTCTAACCTAAGGCGGGGGTCGTTCCGCCCCCAGCACCTCTTCAGGCACCAGAATTCCACTCCCAAGCCAAGAGGTGGGAGGGCTGTCTACGACTGCACCGGCCGTGGGGAAAGGCCAAAGACGGGGCTGTGGATGAACACCTCTCCCGGGCCTTTCTGGAAACGTGCACACCGCGAGACGCCGGCAGAAGCCCCCCCCCAAGAAGGAGCTGGGGGCGCAGGGAGCGCGCGCCACTTGC